TCTAGGGTGAAGGCAACTTCGAACTTGGCTAGGTGTGTCTAGAACTAATGAGTACGGAATTGTGTTTGTAAAAAGGCTAGGTTTAGAAAGAGTGAGAAAGAAAATCAGCTAATGCTTGATAAGAGTTGATGATTGAAAACGGAGGTCCAGGGACCCTATTTATAAGAATATAGTCCGGAATTGATAGAAAAGAGTTAGAGTTCGAAAAGGAATAAAACTCCATCATGTCGCCAACGACAAGCTTCGTCGACATACGCTGCACTGCAGCGCCAGGCGACGAACCTGTCGTTTGGCAGTGTAATCAGGATTCACACGTTTTCCACACGGAATCCACTTCCTGATATAATTTAGTTGTAGAATCCGTGTTTAAGGGTCAAATCGTCTTTTTGCATAAAACACTTATTTTGTTCCAAGTAAAACTCTAAAACTCTAAAACATAATTATCAATTCTAATTCCTTTAGGATTCAGGAGAACCTTCTAGATAGTTCTAGAAGACTATAATCAATCCTAATAGCTTTAGGAATGATAATTGACAATAGGCCCTCCTCTAGATCATTTGGCCGCATGTAAGAACTAAACCGGGCCCGGTTCAGTATTTTGGCCATAACTTCCTCAATATTCATCTGAATTGGGCTTATAATATATTATTGGAAAGCTCTTTTCAAACCCCATCCAACTACACCATTATTGGACCCTTTTCATGGACCAAACCAAACTAGACTGGCTATTTTCATAAAATAGAGCAGGTTTTTAAAAACAGAAAGAAAAGATTTTTAATAAAAACTAACCGCAACACTAGACTTTTCACACTTTCACTTCATTCGATTATGGTTCGACGAAAAAGGTATTCATCACTGGGTTTGGTTTTGGGGAAACACAATTGGGTGTCTACAATAAGCCTCTGCGACATGGTGTGATGATAGCAATCAATGCTACTAAAACAACTGGGATAGGATTTAAGTATGAGAGATTGGGGGATTTTTGTTATTTTTGTGGAAAATTGGGGCATACAGATAGAGATTGTTTGGAGCAAGCGAAGGAAGATAATGAGATTGCTCTTGTCTTCCAATATGGTCCTTTTCTAGTGGCCTCCCCTCACCAACAATCTTGTGCATCCTTGACTGATAGAGAGAAGGAGAAATCGTGGGTGGAGAATCTTGCAAACAGGAAGCAAGTGCAACGTGTGTCTTATAATAATCCCAATGCAATCAGATTGGGGCCTCCTAGTGCTGCACGGAAGCTCCAATTTTCTCCTCCTAAACCAGATGCTCTTGTCCCAAAAGCTCTCGAGGCAATGTTGTGTGTGGTGGCTGCTGAAGGGAGCATTAAGCTGGTATTAAGAGCTAGATATGTAGATCGGCTTAGCAAGGAGAATGACACGGAGGAGGGACAAACTGACGTGTTGGGAAGCGAGAATAGGGGTGATAAGGAGGGAATAGGGGAAATTATGCATCACTCACAAGCAAGGGAGGTTAGTATACGTACTGGCAAAAAAGCTTGGAGAAGGGCTGATATCTCATCAAGAAAGGAGGGAGTAGTGGACTTTATGGACACTTCTGAGAGTGTTATTGTTCCCTCATTAAGTAGGAAGAGAGGGATATCGAGTTTGAAATAAAATGAGGGTACTGACTTGTTGAGTGGGGATGGAAAAAAGCAAAAAGTAATTATGGGAGAGGGGTATTCTGTTTCTGGAAGTATTAACGTTGAAGAGGAGATGTTGACTGATGACTTTGACTGTAATAGTGTGGAGCACTCGAAATTCCAAGTAACGGGCGTTGGTGGTAGCCAACCCTGTGAAGTGCAATGAATCTGATGTGTTGGAACTGTCGAGGAGCGGGCAACCCTCGAACAGTTAAGGAACTGCAAAGGTGGTGCGAGAAATTTGCCCTGGACTTACTGTTCATTTCGGAGACCAAAATTGATAAAGGTGAGTTTGAAAATTTGAAGTCACGTATTGGTTATGATTGTTCTTTTAGTGTTAGTAGTGTTGGTTTATCAGGAGGCTTGTGTTTGTACTTGAAAAGTGAAAAAATTAATTTTTCTTTAATCTCTTTCTGGAATAATCATATTTTTGGTGATATTGTGGATGGTGATAAGGGGTTTGGCGTTCTGTTAGCATATATGGCTGGCCGGAAACGACAAACAAAGATAAAACTTGGCAACTCCTACGACTCTTAGGTGATTCTTATGATGGACCGATTTTGATTGGGGTGGTTTTAATGAGATTTTAGGCTATGAAGAGAAAGAGGAAGGAGTTGATAATGAGAGGCAAGCAATGATTGGTTTTAGAGAAGCTCTTCAAGATACGAATTTACATGACCTTGGTTGTACTAGGCAGAGCTTCACTTGGGAGAAAAGGCTTACAGAGAGGACTCTTATTCGAGAAAGGCTGGACCGTTTCTGCTGCAATGACTCTTGGCACACTAAGTTCCCCGAAGCTGCTGCAGAGAATTTAGTGCGTTACAAATCTGACCATAGCCCGATTTTACTAAGAATGCTACGTGTGAAGAAGCAGAAGAAAAAAGGAAAAAAATGTCTGAGATTTGTGACAGCATGGCTGCTCGAATCTTCATGTGAGAAGACCATAAAAGAGGCTTGGGGGGAAGTGCTTCGATGCAAATTGAGGCTCGTTTGGAGCTAACCTTAGCAGCTCTTAAACGTTGGAGTAGTTCGAAGTTTTCGGACCTTGATAATAAAATTGTGGCTGCTGAGAAACCATTACAAGAAGTTCAAAGTTGGGGTGTTTCCTCTGCTAACATCGAGCTTTGCAAGACCTTGGAGAAAAATCTAGATGACCTTCATGGAAAACAAGAAGCTTATTGGTACCTTAAATCGAGGGCCTCTGAATAAAAGATGGTGACCGAAACACGAAGTATTTTCATCATAAGGCATCTCAAAGGCGAAAACGGAATGAAATTAATGGCCTTTATGATGAGAGTGGTGAGTGGTGTTCTAATGAAGAAAAAATTGAAAAGCTTGTTGAACATTTCTACTCCAATTTGTTCACTTCTTCAAATCCATCCACTGATGATTGTGAGCGAGTTCTTGCGGCTGTCTCTCCCTCTATTAGTTTGGCAGACAATGACTTACTTCTTAAACCATACACTGAGGAGGTGTTTGTGGCTATATGTACAATGCACCCTTGTAAATCCCTGGGTCCTGACGGGTTACATGCCATATTTTATCAAAAAATTTGGCATGTTATTAGAGATGTCGTGTTTGATTGAGTGAGCCAGATTCTCGAAGGTAACTTATCTCCAAAATCGGTGAACAGTATTAATAATGATCTTATACCCAAGGTGAACTCTCCTTCTTCCATGTCTAAATTTCGGCCGATTTCTTTGTGTAATGTATTATATAAAATTGCTTCAAAGGTGATTGTGATGTGTTTGGAAGAAATTTTGCCAAATGTTATTTCGAAAAATCAAAGTGCCTTTGTTCCCGGGAGATTAATTATAGATAATGCTTTGATCGCTATGAAACTTGTTCATACTATTAAGAAGAGAAGTGTGAGTCGTAAGGGAACTATAGCAATGAAACTTGACATGAGCAAGGCATATGACAGAGTTGAGTGGTTTTTCTGGAAAAATTACTCTTGAAAAGGGTTTTGCAGAGTTTGGGTTCGGGTTGTGATGAGTTGTGTATCTACAGTTTCGTATCTTTTATCATCAATAGGACTATTTGTGGGAATGTGACTCCCTCCCGGGGTTTTCGTCAGGGAGATCTACTCTCTCCCTACCTCTTTATTATTATTGCGGATGCCTTTTTTGCCTTGATAAAGAAGGCTTCTGATCACATTCTTATTAATGGAGCGTGTGCTAGTAGGAATGGGCCAAAGATTTCTCACCTTTTCTTTGCACATGATAGTCTGCTCTTTGCTAGAGCTAGCCGAGTTGAATGCTCACAGATAGTTGATATACTCAACGTATATGAAGCAGCTTTATGGCAGAAAATTAACTATGATAAATCGGAGGTCTCTTTTAGCAAAGGGGTGAATGAAACAAAACAGGATGAACTGATACAGATTTTAGGGATGAGACTAGTGAATGAGCATGACAAGTATTTGGGTGTTCCGACCATTTTGGGGAGATAAAAAAGAATGATCTTTGCTGCGTTAAAAGACATAATCTGGAAGAAGCTCAATGGGTGGAAGGAGAAGCTTATGTCGAGAGCTGTTAAGGAAGTGCTAGTGAAATCCGTAATTCAGGATATTCCCACGTACCTTATGGAGGTTTATAAAATTCGCGTAAGTGTGATTGATGACATTAGATCCATGATGGAAAAATTCTAGTGGGGTCACACTGATAATCGCCGTAAAGTTCATTGGCTTAGTTGGGATCGTCTTTGTCAACCAAAGTGTCTTGGTGGACTTGGTTTTCGTGAGATGGCAGCCTTCAACGATGCTCTTCTTGGCAAACAGAAGTGTAGGCTCATTTTTGCTCCAAACTCTCTCCTTAGTAAAGTCATGAAAGGTAAATACTACCCTCACTATGATTTTTTGGATGCCTCTCTGGGGCTAAATGGTAGTTTTTCGTGGAGGAGTATTTGGAGTGCTAAGGCACTTGTAAAGGAGGGATTAATTTGGAGAGTCAGGGAAGGGAAATCAATTGACATCTATACATCTCCCTGGGTGGCTGATGAGCAGGGGAGTTTGATTACTCCTCCTAGAATTGAGGCCCGGGTCTGTCAAAGGTTTGTGACTTAATTGATGAGGAGGGCCGAGACTGGGATTATGACAAGATTGCTGCGAATTTCAATGCTCAAGATGTGGCATGTATAATGCAGATTCCTATCAGCATTAGAGCACCAAAAGACCAACTGACATTAGGCCCGGGTCTGTCAAGACTGCCTATCTATTGGGTATGTCTTGTAATCTCGATAATTTTCATGATGCCCGGTGATTATTTGGAGCCTCGATACTATCCAAAAAATCAAGAATTTTCTGTGGCGTGCTTGCACAAAATCCCTCCCAACCCATGAGCTCCTACACTATAGACACATGACTGATTCGAATTCCTGCCCCTGGTGTCCTACTGACCGTGAATCCATGAGCCATGCTATCTTTTTCTGCAATGCAGTGAAGGACCTCTGGAGAGAGCTAGACTGTGAGGCATTGGTACCTGATGATCCGAGTGAGATTTTTGCTGATACTCTTGTGCGTTGGCAGAAAATGGACTCTAAAAAATGCTTAAAAGGTTATGCTTTACTACGGTTTATATGGAGCAGGCGCAACAACAAGATTTTCAATGAGAAAGAAGTGCCCCACCTGGCAATTAAAGAGAGAGTGCTGCGAATTATTGATGATTGCAACAAGTATTTAACTAAGATCTATGGAGGGGTGAGTATAAGTAAGAAGAGAAGCCCGAGAATTTGGAGCCCACCTCCTATAGGCTTCATCAAAATCAACTGTGATGCTTGTCTACGGGACAAAGGCTGGGTTGGGGTTGGATATGTGGCTCAAGTGTTGTTTGATGGGACTCAGAGAACGAGGGGAAGTTGGCCTCCTGAAATTGCAGAATGCAAGGCAATCCTCTTTGGTCTTAAGCAGGCTCAAAGATATGGTGTGAAGAATTTGGTGGTCGAATCAGATAGCCAAGTTGTCATTAATCGTCTTTCAAAATCTGTGATTTATTTCTCGGACCTTAAATTCGTGCTTGATGATGTAATGTTTGTTAATAAGGACTTTGATTATGTTTCATGGTCACATGTTCGTAGGGATGGGAACTCCGTATCCTATCACCTAGCTAGGTTAGTACCTTTCGGTTTTGAGCAAATTTGGGAAAATCATTCTCCCCCCTGATGTTGCTCCGTACGTACTTATGGACAATTTGTCCAACTCTTAATTAATGGTATTACTAGTTTCCCTCAAAAAAAAAAAAAAACCTTAAGCCCAATTCCCTTGCTCATGCAACAATAATATTTTGTATGTACAAATTAAATTAAAACTTTCAATAAATATTTTATAAGTCTGTTACAGAGTATTTTATATAATGAAAATTGTTTTAAAAGGTAATTTAAAAGCTTATCCTAGAAATATCATTCAATTACATGAAAATAGTTAAATAGGTGCTACTCTAAATTGATTTCTTCGAATTGCTTTGACTATGCTATTAGCATCATTTTCAAGAACTACTACATAGCTGAAGCTCTTTCCCAAAATCACTCATAACTTTATGAACGACAAAACTATATTTTTATTTTGCCAAATATGATTGTCAAGTGATTATTAATCCATAGAAGAAAATTTGAATAACATAGAAATTTTTCTTATATAAAATGTATATTTCTATAATATATATTGCACACTTAAAAAAAATGGTATCTTACGTCAAAATATACTAGATAAAAGAAATATATACCTCTTACACTAATGTTTTATATTAAGGAAAATTTGTCAAGAATAAGTCATCCTTTGCGTGGTTAGCTCGAAATAAGTCAACCTTTTGATTAACTAAAAATAAATAGACCTTTATATGATATCTTCTCAAAATGAGTCAAAACTTGTTAGACTAGAAATTAACCGGTTGTTAAGGTAAAGTATGTTACATGTCATTGTGTGGTTGGTCCTTTTTTAAAAAAATAATTAAGATTAATAAATTAGTTATTAACAATTAATTCAATTAGTAATTAATAATTATATCAAAAGATAAAATAAACAAAGAAACTAAAATAAACCCAACCATCCACCATCACTAACCACTGGTGTAATACCTGAATATTTTATAATTTTATATTATATATTTTATAAAAATATAGTTATTTTTTATTTATTAAATAAATTCCCTAATCTCATATTTTTATTTTAGAGTTCAGAAAGGTTTAAAACCCTATTATAATTTAAATATGACTCTTTATTTTAAGCGTATATAAACTATTTAACCCTAATAAGTTTTTAATATATAATATAGTGCAGCAGTGTGTAGACACCTACTTTGGCCCTCTTGTCCTAAAAAGAAGTGCGATGATGTTACAAAAATCCGTTCTTCATGCTAGATCAAAGTTGAAGTGTTTATGGGCTATGAAAAGAATTATGAAGTAAGTTGAAAGCCATATTTGAGACCAAGTTATCTTAGAGCCTTTTCCGATTACTAATTAGGCCTAAAACATGTTCATACATGTTTAAACTTGATTAATAACGGACCCAAATGCGTCAAATGCAATGATTGGATCCAATGGAACTTACATTGTGGAAAAACCGAGCCAAACAGGTAAACCAACCATCAAATTCTCATGAAAGGCCTATGTAGATGGATATCCCTTTCAAAGAGCTTTCCAACGGTATATTATAAGCCCAATTCCGAGCTAAAATGAAGAAGTTATGATCAAAACACGAAACCGGGCCCTAAAACCAACACCCTTGCACTCCAACGGCCATATATTTTGATCCTTAAACTATTTTGACCTAATTCTAATGGCATTGGAAAATAGACATTCAGAGCTTTCAAATGATATCTCACACGCCTTAATCCAACTCCACAATCAAAAGTTATGGAAGTTTTAAAAACGTGTTTTCGTATAAGGAAAATCGCAAACCAGCGCAACTCAATCAGCTGCGCGCGCCTTGCGCACGCGACTCATTGATATGTGCGCGGCACCCCAGCGCGACTCTGAGAGTTGTGTGCGCCACCAGACGGCGTGGATCTAAAACCCTAAACCTAGATCCCTACGCCTATAAATAGGGGTTTTCGTTTAGCATTACGGGGACCGAAAAATTCAGAATTAAAACCCTTGTATTCTCAAAACCCTAATCTCTCAACTTTTCTTACAATCATACTAATTTTTCTTCTCTCTTCCCAAATACTTTCAAACCTAATTGATTCCATTGAAGTCCTTAGAGGTACGAAGAAGAAAGAAAGTCCATAAACACATTAAATCGGAAATTTAACATTTAAGAAGAACGGTTAGTTTCATGATCACTTAAATAAATCACTTTTCTTTTATTGTTTAAATAACTTAAATGATTAATTAGTGTTGTTTGATCACTTTAAACAAAATTTTAATCAATTAAATTCACATAGTATTCTTTCGTTAATCAAGACTAGAATTTGAATAATTAATTGTTGTTTTACCACTTAAGACAAGGCGAATATTGTTTATTTATTGTTCTTTCACGAATATTAATTAAATAAGAATAACGACTTTTGCAATGTAATTCCTACGTGATTAATGATTGTAAATAAAATTAACTAATTCTTTAGGTATCACGTTGTATATATTGTTTGGTAATGAAACTGTGAAAAAGGAAGAGCTAGTAGAGGCCGTACTAGGGCTAGAATAGCGATTCCTCCCTAACAGGAGCGTTATTTTAGTACCCTCGCTCCCGAACTCATTTCTAGTTTATGTAGACCAATTTGGGCATGGGTAAAATTATGATTCGTGCCAATTATTCCATGAACTCCACATGGAAGAAGATGCACTTTCCACCTTAGCGCAAGGCGGAAAATTGCGCACGATACTATTTTTTATTATGATGATTCGTGTACGTACTTTATAATCGAGCTAATGACATTACTTCTTGTGAGGTTTGTCATTAGAAGTTCGCATCTCTTAATAGGACGTCATCAATTTGTTTATTCTTAAACGTGCCTATTTTCGTGTTCATCATTTTTTTAGTTGTAATTAGTCAACCTTGATTTAAGTGTAAAATTTATTTACCTCTTCTATGGTTTAAAAAAAAAATCCCGAGAACTTTATTGATTGCCTCACAAAAAAAAAAGAGAGAGAGAAATAGAACGAAAAAAAAGAAATGTTGTTCTTAAAAAAAAATAAAAAATAAAAAATAAAAAATATATATAAAAAAAAAATTTAAAAAAGAGAGTATGATACAAAAAAAAATATAATGAATGATAAAACCGAGAAAATGATTTAATAATTTCTTGGATTTTACATTCGGAGGCCATCATTCTTTTTAAGCAAATAGTAAAATATTATCCTTTAAAGATGAGCAGTATGAGAATCATAATTGAAAAAAATGATATAGATCTTTATTGCAATCTAAGTTATCAATAAATACCATAGTATATTTGATCATTTTAAGGAGTATGTTCGGGTTGATTAATATTCCTAAAATTTGATGAGCATTTTCAATCCAACTTTTTTGTCTTTCTCTTCTACCTTTTTCGAAAACAATTCATTTAAATTTAAATCCTTAGATGATTACCTTGTTGAAGTTAACACAAATCATGACTTTCCACTAATGATTGTTCGTGAATTTTTTGACATTTTTCATCAACAAACTTTCTTAAAGTGAATTAGTATTACAAGGATTACAAAAAAAGAAATAAAACAATCATTTTGACTTTGGTTCATTGTTTGAATGCTTGGCAGAAAAGGTTTAAGTGAACGCGCTCAATTTCTCGTGACACACATTACTAGACCATCTTCCACATTCTCATACTAGTCCAATGATGGGTGACAAAGCAGCATTGGAGAAACTTAGAGAGGAACTCCAAAACCTAAAGGCCCTACGAGAAGTAGAAGCCCAAATGAAGGCTCATAAAAAAAACAGAAAAGGCTAAAATAAAAGCAGAAAAGAAAAAGAAAACATTCTGCAAGAAAAAGCAAGAGCCGAAAGAGTAGAGGCCTTGGAGAAACTTGTCCTTCGAGCTAACTCAGGGAATAAGTACTTCAATTATGAGCTTGCACAACAACCTAGTGGCAAGACTCTCCCAGAAAAGTTCTCGACTACGAATTTGCCAACCTTTAAGGTTACAGACAATCCTAGAACCCACTTAATGAGCTTTATTGGAATTATGGCATTGAAAGGGGTTGAGCCAAGCCTATATGCATGTAATTTTCCTCTTTCATTGGACCCAACTGCTAGATCATGGTTTTATAACCTCGATGCAAAAAAAACTTTACTTCCACTTGGAGTGACGTTGTAAAAGCGTTTTTAACCCAATATGGAGATAACATCGAGCTCACAACTACCTTGCGTGATCTCGAATTGCTTAAGCAAGGGGAAGAAGAAGGCTTCATTGACTTCTTTTCCAGGTGGCGATCAAAGGTTGCTCTTATTCCACAAAGACCTCCGGATCATGAACTTGTCCCAAAGTTTATAGACAATATGTCTCCACCATAAAAGTGTCATTTACAATACCTTGGTTTAGACACATTTCAAAAAGTCTATACTGTGGGATCATTAATTGAAATGCACTTGATAAATGAAACCATGAATCATATAGATGGACTTGATTTTTAGAGAGGATTTCACCTACGTCAGAAACGGACAAAGCTCAAAGACGCAATCTCAAGAAGTTGTCAACAATTCAAGATGTAGCACCCTAGGTCTTGTTTTGTTTTTTTCCTTTGTTTTTTATGATAGACTAAGAGATTCATGCTGTCGAATCTACTTATTTTGTACTCTCATTAATTAATGAATAAAAAATATATTTTCAAGTACGCCTATCTTGTTCTCTTTTCAATCTCTTTATTGTTATTGACTTGAATTAAATAAAATGTATACATATAAACAGGCAATATCAAAAGGCTACATACTTAACACTTTAAGAATCTTGATGAGCTTTGGCTTACAAGATGTATTGAATGAAAAGAGGCCCATCTTAGGCCCATGAAGAAAGGATATGATGATTAAACCAACGCATGAGGCAACTTGAAACTCCATAAATATAATCCCATGTTCTTAACCTTAGAGAAAATCCATCTTTTTGGCAGCCCTTTTGAGCCTCGTCAATTGAGCCTTAGTTATTCAACCTACATTATTCCATACCTTGGGATGAGAATGGTGCAAAGATACAAATAGACAATTGGGGGACACAAAGTTAGTCTAAACCCAAAAGG